GCAGTTCTTCAAAAAACTAAACACAGAGTTACCTATGCAATTCCACTCCTCGGTATATACCCAAACAAAAGTGTATGTCCATGCAAGAGCTTACACTCAAATGTTCATAGAAGCATTCATTCTTTATTCATAAGAGCCACAAGGTGGAAACAGCTCAAATGTCCATAAACTGACAAACGGATAAATAAAATGCGGTATATCCACACGATGGGATATTATTTGGCCCACAAAAAGAATGAAGTACCATCCATACTACAATGTGAGTGGACCATGAAAACATGATGTGACAAAATCCAGACACAAAAGGCCACATACTGAGTGATTGTATTAATATGACATATCCATCAGGATAAAAACATAAAAACAGTAGATAAGTGGTTTCCAGGGAGTGAAAAAATCTGGAATGGGCAGTGGCTGCAGTGGCTATGGGTTTCTTTCTATGGTAATAAAAATGTTCTGGAATTAGTGGGTTATGGTAACAAGGCTTTGTGAATATAGTAAAAACCATTGAATTATACATTTTAAAAGTACAAATTTTATGGTATGTGATGTATCTCTCAATAATGTTATTTCAAGAAACACTAGATTTTGCTTTTATTGTGATTACTGTCTTCTGTTTCCTTCTAACCCATCATCCAACAGTTTGCAGGAGTCTAGAGGTGTGCTTCCAAATATCCTCATTCTTCTGTCTAATTTGGACTGGAGATGGAGATGCCAGTGGAGGTGGAAATTGCTCTGGAGAAGGGGTCAGAGGATGGAGTTTAAATCATGATTCTGGGCAGCCCTGGTGGTTCAGTGGTTTAGTGCCGCCTTCAGTCCAGGGTGTGATCCCGGAGATCCCGGATGGAGTCCCATGTCAGGCTCCCTGCATGAGCCTGCTTCTCTCTCTGCCGTGTCTCTGCTCTCTTCTCTCTTCTCTCTCTTCTCTCTCTCTCTGTCTCTATGAATAAATAAATTAAAAAATCTTTTTTAAAAAATCATGATTCTGTCTTACTAGCCCATTGGCCCTGGTTGGGCAAGTCATTGCTTCTCTGAGCCTTGGGTTCTATTCTGAAAATACAAAAACCCTGGCCCTATGTATCTCCTAGGGTTGTGTCAGCAAGTCACTGTAAATGAGAATGTTGACTTAACCATAAGCACTACACAAATATTGGCCTTTGTGATCGGATTCTATTGATGTCAGGGCAATCCATGTGAGAGATAACTGTCAGGTGATAATATTTTTTTATTATTTTTTATTTCTTTGTTTGTTTTTTGCTGTTTATTTGTTTGTGATTAAGCCCAAAGGATCTTGATCCTTAAACCAATAAATACAAATATTCATATTGTTTTTTACTCCTACTGTGGTGATTTTCTCTGAGCCTCAGTTTCTTCATCTGTAAAATAGAGGTTCCTACCTTGATAAGATGTTGTGAGGATGACAAGAGACAATGTACAACACAAGGTTAAGCACTTCTATAGTATAGAAGTTAATAAATCTATTCATCACTGGGTCTAGAGAATGAGTAATCAAGGTCAAATGAACATCTGCGGGGAAGAGGGTAGCAAAGGCTGACTTTGGGTAAAACTGAAAGGAAGAGGCTCTGACAGTTATTGATTGCCTTCTCTGTGCCAAGTACTTTTCCATATGCTCTATCACTTGATTCTCACAACCCTGAAATATAAGGTATTAATTCATATTTACATGTGACAGAGCAGAGGCTCCAAGAGATTAAATAATCTGTTTAAGGTCACACAGGTTATTAGTTGTCCATTTTAGAGTAGAATCCTGATTGGACTGGTTCCTAAGGCCACGGTCTTTTTTTTTTTTTTTTTCTTTTTTTCTCTGCATGACCCCAGCCCATAGTCCCTGGTGGTCTTACTTCTTCTTGTCCATCTGGTCTTCTTTTGGTACCACAAATACAAGCCTGTCTTTTGCCATGTGACTCCATCTGTCAAGTTCCTATCCTCCTCTCCCCTCCACCTCCAACTATAGTAGCCTCTGGATGCATGCCTTCAGGTTCAAGTGTTTTGGGCAGAGGCTGGACCCATGTGACACAATGCCATAGAGGTGACTCAAGGGCTGGATGTAGGGTTGGATCCAATGGATGAGGGGCTCTTCGACCTTATTCATCTTTCAAGAGTGGGCTCAAATGTCACCTGTCACCATCTTTGAAAGCATTAGAAAGAATTTGTCCTTTTTTCCTCTGTTCTCCCATAGTACCTTATCTAGACCTCTGTCATACATTTACTACCATACTGAAATTATCTGCTATTTGTCTGTCTCTCTTCTGGGCTCAGTGCAATCTCCAGCCTCAGTGAAGAATTATTTAATACAAGATTTCTTAACATTTTTGTGCCATCTATCCTCTGGCAGTTGACTAAGCTCATGGAGCCATTCTCAGTTCTTAAATACATAAAAGGAAACAAACAGGATTACCAAGGAAAAACCAATTATATTGAAATATAGTAATCAAAATCTTAAGAAATCAAATTTGCTTATAATAACATATTACATAGTTTATTCACACATTAAATAACAAGATCTACTGGTAAGTCTAATAACTATCATGATTTTGAATTAGTGATGAGCATAAATATTACTGCAAGATCAATAACAATTTAATAGAATATATAAGTAGCTATGCTTTTTATAATGACCAAGTCATGGTTGCTGTGAATAAAACTATGGTTTGTTCCTTATACTCATAAATAGAGAGAATGCCAAATATCAATTCTGGGTATTAAAAATAAAGATTTTTTAAAATATTTTATTTATTTATTCATGAGAGACAGAAAGAGAGAGACAGAGACATAGGCAGAGGGAGAAGCAGGCTCCTTGTGGGGAGCCTGATGCAGGAGCTCCATCCCAGGACCCCTAGATCACGACCCGAACAAAGGCACTTAATCTCTGAGCCACCCAGGCACCCAAAAATAAAGACTTTTTTTTTCCCCATCCTAATAAACAGTCCCATGAATTCTATTCAGAGGCCTCAGACTAAGCCTCCCTGAATGAACGAGTCATCTGAAAGTCCAGAGTGGTCAAGACTAACCTCCCTTTCTTGTGCTTCTGTAACACTTGTAATTGTACTTAGCACACTGAATTGTAAATTCTGATGTCTGTTCATGTGTCTTTCTCATCCACTTGGGCTGTGAACCCCTTGAAGGAGAGGAACTGTCTTATTTCTTTTTGCTTCTGAAAGAGTGCTTGGCAGAGCGTGGGTCCTCAGTAAATAACGTGGACCCGATGGGCGTGGATGATAAGGTCTGTCTGACCCACCGTTGAGTGATAAGAGGTTCAGCACCTCAGCAGTGCATCTTCCCATCCTATACTCTGCCCCATTCTTCAAGGTGCATCTCAGGAAAGCCTCTTCTTTAAGACGTCCCTGAGTGCTCTTGGCCTCACTCCTTTCTCTTCTAAGTGTGACCCACTACATTGGGACTCACCTGGGCATTGAATTAAAAGCCACAGTAATCTCTCCCCCAGTTTTTCTATTTTATATAAATATTTGAAAGTCACATAGCTGACAAAGGGCTTTTATCTAGACTACATAAAGAACTCTTTCAAGTCAATAAGAAAAAGAAAAATAACTCAATTACAAAATAGGCAAAGGATCTGAATAGATATTTCTCCAAAGAAGACACACAAATAGCCAATAAAGCACATGAAAAGCTGCTTAACATCATTACATTAGTCATCAGGGAAATACAAAGCAAAACCGTGATGAGATACCGCTTCACACACACAATAGGTTGGCTATAATAAAGAGGACTGGCAATAACACGCGTTATAGAAAATATGATATACTGCAGGTGGGAATGTAAAATGGAGCCAATGCTTTTGAAGACAGATTGGCAGTTCCTCAAAAGGTCAAAACATATGGTAGTTACGGTATGATCCAGCAATTCCACTCCGAGGTGTATAATCAAGAGAAACAAAGACATATGTCTGCACAAAAACTTGTATGTGAACAGTCATAGCAGCTTTGTTCATAACAGTGAAAAAGTAGAAACAATTAAAATGTCAGTCAACTGATGAGTGGATAAAGAAAATATGGCATCTTGCTACAGTGGTATATTATTCAGGAACAAAAAGGAATAAAGTCCTGATAGATGGTACAACATGGATAAACCTTGAAAATGTCACACTAAATGAAAAGAAGCCAATCCAAACAAAGGAGGCATAGTTGTATGGTTCCATTTGCATGAAATGTCCCAAACAGATAATCTGCAGAGGCAGAAAGTAGATTACGGGCGGGGGTGGGTGGGTGTTGAGAAAAAATGGAGAGTGACTGCTAATGGGCATTGGATTTCTTTCTGGGGTGATGGAAATGTTCTATAATTGAGAATGGTAACTGGTACACAACCCTATGAATAACCTACAAACCATTGAATTATACACTTTAAATGGGTGAATTGCACAGCATAAGAATTATATCCCAATTGTGCTATTATAATAGCTTTGAAAAGACAAAGGGGAGAGAGGCACATAGTTTATTTAGCAAAAGGAAGGAAGTTTGGTATGGCTGGATCATGAAGCAGAGACATAGACAAGTGAAGGAGCTTTGATTTGAATCTAAGGGCACTGAAAACATTTGCAAAAGGTTTAAAGAGAAGGATGAAATGATCAGATTCACAGTCTAGAAAGATCTCTGAGGTGTTGAAGGAAAACAAAGGGTAGTTACTGGAAGCGGCAATGAAGAGGCTTCTGGAGTACTAGCAATAATGTTCTGTTTATTGATCTGGATTTTGGCTATGTGAGTGCACTCTTTGAGAATTCAGCAAGCTGAGTGATACATGATCCTTTTCTTTATATGATGCTTTGGTCAAAATTTTTAGCATAGAAAAAAGCCCAAGGACTTTTTGATTGGATTAACTAAGATGTTTACTGCTTTCTGACAAAGCCTATTGATTCTATACACAGAATCTAAAGCAGTTACTATAAATGTGGTTTATAACTGCCAATTAATTCGGATTATCACCTGAACACTTTGACACACAGTTATAATTCATTTGCTTACCAATTGCTGGTGCTTGGAGTGGTCTGTTTCATGTGCAGTCCTAAGGAGTGCATTGCCTGGAGGGAATTTAAAACAATAATCAGACAGATTAAGAGTCGCTTTGCTTTTTTATTATTATACTGCACTGGAAATTCTAAGGGGTATCGGTGGTGAAATATTTCTTCCCTTCTCTAATAAATAATATGGTAATATGAGGTTGAAATCAGTGCTACGGCTGCTGTTGAGCTACCCGGACTGCTCCCATGATACCATCCTTAGCTGGGCAACGATGGAGATAGTGGTTACAATGTGATAGGGGTGTGTGTGTGTGTGTGTGTGTGTGTGTGTGTGTGTGTTATCAGACAATGGATCTGGCCATTTTTTGAATATAAATCTCATTTAAACCTCATAGCTGTGCAGGTTAGGTATTCTCATCCCCATTTTACAATTCAGAAAGCCAAGGGCCAAGCAGATTAAGTGACTTGTGCAAATTCACTCAGCAGGTAGAGATATGAGAGAGGCTGTCAGGCTAAGCCTTCTAACTCAAAGCTCACTTTCCCATGAGGGTTTCCCATCCTTTGGTACCAAGTGGCACATGGAAGGCCCTTGGGATATATTTCCCGAAGGGTAAGTAGATGAAGAACTGGTCATTATTTTAGTTCAAGGAGGAGGTTCCACCTGAATATAACTTCTTACCTAAGTTGTTTTAGATACAAAAACCCTCCATGTGCTTCTTTCCTTCAAATTTTAAGGGTCAGTCCCTTGGAAAGTATAGCTACCATTTCTCTGCTTATCATTGCATTTATATCATCTGGATCTCACAACTTTTTTTTAAATTTTTAAAAAATATTTTTTGTATTTATTCATGAGAGAGGCAGAGACACAGGCAGAGGGAGAAGCAGGCTTCTCACAGGGATCCCGATGTAGGACTCGATCCCTGGACCCCAGGATCACGCCCTGAGCTAAAGGCAGATGCTCAACTGCTGAGCCACCCAGACGTCACTCACAACTATTTTAAGTAGGTTTATTATGTCTACAGATGGGGAAGCTTCAGCCTGAACACTTAAGTGATGGTCTTGCACTAGTAAGCATGTAGGGATTCACCTGGTAGTTAAGAACATGGGTTCTGGGTCCTAAGAGACCAGTGTTGCCTCTACCTCTTGCTAGCAAAGCGACCCAGATTTGCAAAGTTTTGGGCTTCAGTTTTAACACTCACAAAATTGGAATTATAATAGTATTCACCTGAGAGGTTGCAACCTCAAATGCCCACAGGAGCTAGGGGTTAGGGAGTTCTGTATTGTCGATTAGTCAGAGGCTTGGCACCTGCCTGGGATGCCCCAGGAGGCAGGGGGTTCTGGGGGTGAAGGCAGGATTGGACTCCACTCTCTAGGCTCACACTCACTCATTCCCTCAATCAATATTTCCGGAGTGCCCATGATATTCTAGAATGGTTCTAAGTTCCGGAAATGCAAAAATGAATAATGCTCAGGCCTTTTCTGCTCTTTCTGGAGACAAACACAAAACACCCAATGAAAACCCGGTGTTGTATCGTGGCACCTTCAAGTTCTGGGAATCAAGTCATTTAGCCAGTCAGCAAACCCATGAACACAGAGTCGCCTACGCTCATTGTCGCCAGCAATAGGTTCTTCATGCCTGATGGAGCACAGGACAGTGCAAGGTGGGAATGCAGTCCTGTCCTCCAGAGGTTTAGAGCCTAAGACAGACAAACCAATCTGGACCAAACACCTCAAGACCATAATAATACCAATCAAGGGGCACTTGGGTGGCTCAGTCAGTTAAGCATCTGCCTTTGGCTCAGGTCATGATCCCAGGGTCTGGAATGCAGTCCCATGTTGGGCTCTTTGCTTAGTGGGGAGTCTGCTTCTCCCCCTGCTTGTGCTCTCCGTCTCTCGAACGAACGAATAAATAAATAAATAAATAAATAAATAAATAAATAAATAAATAAATAAATAAATAAATATCTTTAAAAAAAAACAATCAAGCAGCACCCTCCTGGGGTCTCTTTGATGAATGGGTAGATTTAAGTGAGGGGCATTCTAGCTACATGTGCATCTGTTTCCTGCCCTCCTGAGGTTCACCAAGTTCTCAGGCCGTCTCCCTGTAGCTTGGCTCTGGTGCTAAACGCGGGTGCAGAAATATACTCCCTCCCTTCCTGCCAATCTTACTCCTTCTCAACTCCAATCCCATTCCTTTATGTTCTTTTGGCTTTTTCCTCAGGTAAGTCCATGTGGGGAGTGCAGTCTAAGAGATTAGCTGGAATAGACTAGGGAAAACATACTTACCTGTCTTCTCACCTGCCCAGGAAAGCCTAAGAGGGGAGGAGGTGTTTCCAGAGGCAGCTGAAGAATGGAAAATGGCTACTTGGCTGAGGGCAGGGCACAGAGAATTGGCCAGATGACTTGGGAGAACTATTGGAAGTGAGCCCAGGACAGAAAGGATCAAGCCAATGGGGAAAAGATGACCGTTTGGAAGCAGAGGAAAGCTCCAAGACATAACCCAGGTACCAGTGGAGAGGCACAATTTGGATTTAGGTGAGGACACCAAGAGAGGGCAGGGAGGGCCGTGTGGGTTATCTAGGGAGAAAGAGCTCTACTCCACCAAAAATGAGGCCAATGTCTGGACTGAAGTGGTGACAGGGACAGGGTGGGGCTGGTTAGGTTTGGGTCAAGCTAAGCAGAACAAGCCTTCAGATTCACAGGTTTGGGTATTTCTTGGAAACTGAAGAGGCCAGCCCTCTAGTCCAGGGCATAGTGTTACATCCAGAAGGGCTCTGCTAATTTCTTCTTCAGCTCTTGTGCGAAGTATTGCAGGAGGCTTCTGTAAAACCTTGCAACTCCATATGCTATCACTAACTAAACCCTCCAGACTTGTATAGGGACGTCCCACTTTATGAAGAAAAGCCACCTTCTTGTTAAGAGTTAGTATGCCTTTGATCTTGGTCCACATTCAAGATCGTTCTGTGGGTGGCTGAGAGCAAGTAGAGTCAGAGGGGAGGAACCAGTCCTCGCCAGCCCTCTGTCTTGTCTTTCTTCACATGGACAAATGCTATCTACTTCGTTATTGCATTGTAAAGAAATTGAAGATTTTTTTTTTTTAACGAAGGGCATTCCTGGATTGGGGGTCATCTATGTTTTTGGCTGAGTCTTTGTAATATTAAGTATAAGATACTTCAAAGTTCAATTCCTTGGGAGATGGGACTGTGGCCCATGTGAGGATGGAAAGAATCCCTGAAGGAAGATGCAGATCATGGGTTCACACATGAGTGTGGAACCTGGGACTACTCCAGACTTTCTCATCCAAAGTTCCTACCACTACCTATCAGCCATCAAGCTCTCCTCACATGATTTGAAATTGGTCTCTGGATATTTAGAGGAGTACCGGGGCCATGTGTGGTGCTTTCTGGAAAGATGTAAAAACATGCTCGATTAATGGTGGGACACACAAAATGAGTGGCTATTTTGGAATGTGCTGGGTGGCAGATGGCGGTCTAGTTACCAGCTGATAGTTGGTGTTTACCGTTGAAGGTCAGAGGGAAATGGCCCAGGAGAAAACCATGAAGACAGAAAACCCTCAGCAGATTACACTGTCGGGGTCCTGATACATAAGAAGATAAAAACAAAGAAATGTCAATCTGGATGATACCGCTTCAGTCTTCCTTTTCACTAAACCCGTATTCCTCAGAACACACACACAGCCTATTTTCAGACCCTAGGGACGCCCGTAGTCGAATTCTACCTGGGGGAGACGAGCAGTGTTGAATAAGAGTCGGGGATCGGGACTTAATGCCTGCAAAAGAGAAAGAGGGGTGAGTTCTCCCCCAGGAACATGCACCTGCCAGCCAGTCCCGAGGGGATGTAGAAATTGCCGTGTGTGTCTCAATGTGAGTGAAGAAAACCCGAGTACTGGTGTATTCCTGAAAGCGGGTGTGTGCGGCAAATTTGCAAAATCTCAAGATCGGGGAGACTACTGACACGGGCAGTCTCCGTGCTAAGTCACTGTGTGTCTCTGACTCCGCTCCTGCGAGGCTGCATCTGCACTTGCCTGTGACTCTTTTGTTTCTGGTGTAGCCTGGGGAATCAGAGAGCTTGGAGACTCTGCCAGAGTTCCTCGGGCACGTTAAGAGTTCACGCTAGAGGGATCCCTGGGTGGCGCAGCGGTTTGGCGCCTGCCTTTGGCCCAGGGCGCGATCCTGGAGACCCGGGATCGAGTCCCACATCGGGCTCCCGGTGCATGGAGCCTGCTTCTCTCTCTGCCTGTGTCTCTGCCTCTCTCTCTCTCTCTCTGTGACTATCATAAAAAAAAAAAAAAAAAAAGAGTTCACGCTAGAAAAAAATGACCGAGGTAAAAATAACACCGTCCACCACACGAAGGGGTCGTACCTGTGTTTGTATGAGAACATGCGTCCCTCCTTGAGAACTCGACGGCCAGCCGGTGCGGAGGGTCCTGGTCTGGGTTCCTGTGACCTCAGGCCGCCCAGCCCTGCCTCCAGCCGAGTGTCTGCAACTGGTCATCAGGGAACTAGATGAGAGAACACGGATGGATCATTATTTTTCACTGTTGGAAAAACACCTGAAACCTATAACCAATTCAGTCTTGCCTAGTCACTCACTATCTTAAATCTCATCGTGTGTAAATTGGCTGACTCGTAGCTTTCTGCAAGTTTAAATGGTGAACTGCCTGACAATCATTCCTGAACTTACCCTTGCCCCTCATCCTGTGGTGAGCGCAGGCCTTCTGATGACTGACTCTGTTCCGCAGGGTCCAATGGGTCACATGTCAGCCTCTCACTCGGAAGATCCCTCCAAGTTATTAATAACTAGGTAACATATTCTGTAATTACACAAATCAGGTTTTTTGGTTTCTGTGCAGTCCATGATTTGGCCCTTTTTTTTAAAGATTTTATGTATTTATTCATGATAGAAAATAAATACATTTATTTTATGTATTTATACAGAGAGAGAGGCAGAGACACACACAGAGGAAGAAGCAGGCTCCCTAAGTGTAGCCCAATGTGGGACTTGATCCCAGGATCCTGGGATCATGCCATGAGCCAAAGGCAGCAGATGCTCAACCACTGAGCCACCCAGGTGCCCTGTGATTTGGACTCTCATCATAAAAAAGCCATTGCTTTTTTACAAATAAGGCACATGAAACGCAGAGAGAATAAATCATTTGCCTAAGGTCACACCACTTGCAGGTGGGAGAACCGGGGATCGAGTCCAGATCCATCAGCTCTGAATGCCATGCCCATTCTTCTGTACCTGTATATTCTCTTTTTCTTTCTTTCTTTTTTTTTTATTTATTCATTAGAGACACAGGCAGAGGGAGAAGCAGGCTTCTCACAGGGAGCCTGATGTGGGACTCGATCCCAGAGCCTCCAGGATCATGCCCTGAGCCAAAGGCAGATGCTCAACTGCTGAGCCACCCAGGCATCCCTGTACCTGTATGTTCTAAACTAAGGTCTCTGCAACTCTGTGACACCAACAGAGAAAATGGTTCATTCATTCACCAAATGTTGATTAAGCATCTGCTGTGATGGAGGCAATGTTGTAGATCAAGGGTTGTCAAACTTTCCTAGAAAAGACCAGAAGGTAAATATTGATGACTTCATGGGCTATATGGTCACTTGTGATGATTCAACTCGGCCATTGTCGTGTGAAAGCAGTTGTTGACAATACATGGCTATATTCCAATAAGACCTTGTTTACAAAATCAGGCTAAGGCCGGACTGAGCTCATGAGCTGTGCCCCAGTGCTGGGCACGGGCTTACAGTGCCGAAAAAGGAAACCAGCAAAAATCCTTGTCTGTGTAAACCTTATATTCTAGAAAGGGGTAACACTTGTGTTTCCTGGCCTGTTTATCATGTAAAAACTGTCACAAAGTCTCGAAGGTCCTGAGACCTTAGGGGGCACGTCACCCAGTGCTGTCCTCATGGCAGATGGTCCTATTTTCTGAGTGCATCCGGGGCCAGGGGAGCCCACCCTTCCCTGCTCCCTGTCCCTTGCAGAGACCCTCCTATTTGCCTCCTGTCAGTCTGATCCCTTCATTCCTTTAGGTGAAACCCTCATGGGCCCTCTAACAGCTCCACACAGGAGGAATAACTTACAGGTGACATGACAAGCTCTGTCCCCACCACTCAGGTGGAATCACTAGGACACAGTGCTGGCAGCTACCAAGATGGTCACCGCAGTCACACACAAACAATGAGAAACTGTGAAACCATTTCTGGAAGCCACAGAGAGAGAGAGCCAGTCAGGTGCTGAGACTGTGGGAGGTAGAAGACAGGGCAATTGAGACAGCAGTTGGGAAGGCTCGTTCTAGTCTCTCTTCCACTACGTGACCTCAGGCAAGTCACTTCTCCTGGGTCTCAGCTTCCTCATCTGCAATATGGAACCTGGCTGAGGTCCTCTGAGTAGTGGTGATTCTAGAATTCTTGAACAGGTAGCTCTCAGTAGACATCCTTACCACCTCACTCCTGGGTCTATCCTGGGAGGCCACTAACCCAGATGGCACTTCTCTTCCAGCAGTCTGCAAGATCTGCCCTTATGTCCACTCTATGTTTGACTCTATTATTCTCTCTCAAGAGCTGCTTTGCATTCCCTGAGCATGTGTTAAAGTCTATGTTACCTACGACCACCAACGGCTTCCACCAATTACACTTTTCTGTTTTGCTCCACATCTGTGAGCAGAATGTTGTTTTGGGGCCTCAGATCAGCAGTTTGTAAACTCATGATACTAAACCAGACCTCTCTCCTTCTGTCCCCACCACTTGGCTCTCAAGAGGTAACTAACTCTATCGGCTTCCAGGCCTTCTACAGGGACCAACGGGCCTCCAGGGCCATCCAACGTGGCTTGAGACTCCCCTTCTATCCCAGGGTCCCAGGCTCAGACAAGAACTCCCTGGTTCCTGGCACCCAGACCTTTGGAAGTTAAATTGTCATCTGTCCCGTTGTCTGATCAAGCAGCTCAGCAGCCCTTGACTTTATTTTTTTTTAATAAATTTATTTTTTATTGGTGTTCAATTTGCCAACATACAGAATAACACCCAGTGCTCATCCCGCCCTTGACTTTAAACAGCAACCACAAAACAAAACTGAGGCCTCTTGGTCAGGTTTCTTGAGCTCAGCAGGTGATATGCAAATTCTGGGAAATATTGTGAAATGGGTCCATTTCCCTTCCTGTGAAAAGCTGCTTATAACAATCTGCATAAAGAGAATGAATATGGTGTCAGGCATTTGGGTAAACAAACCTGCCAGATGGGCAGGCCATCCAGCCATTGTCACGAGTTGTGTGACAGCAATCAGGTGAGCAGCTGAGTTAGGGGCTGCTGGTGGGAAGTTCCAGTCTGCCTGGAAAACAAACCTGGTGAGGGAAGAGGGAACAGTGCTTAGGGCAGTAGCATATTTGTTGTGTCAGTTCATGGAACAATTATTTATTCTTCTTAAGCCTCTTATAATTATTTCCAGAAGAGTCAGTAAATCCTAGTAAAGTGCTCAGGTTCTGGAGTCGGACCACTGTGGGTTTTTCTCTTGGCCCTGCTGTTTATTCACGGTATGCCCTGGGCCAGGACTCTTAATCTCCTAAAGCTTCTGTTTTCTTCTATAGAGATGGGGATGATGATACCTACTTCCCTGGAACTGATGTAACATACAGAATAGTGTCCAACATATGGCTATTAATATTACTATTTTCACTGGTTGTTCCAAAATATTAACCCAGCTGCTTAACATATAACAAGCCTTTAATAAATGTCATATGATTAAGTCATAACCTATGGGTGAGATGGTCCAGTTATTGCTTACAAAATCCCTGGTGAGAGATGAAAGATGTTATTTGCTGAATCTCCATCACTCAGCAAACCTTTATGCTCTCTGGGTTACCTCCAACGCTTCTGGAAGTTCAGAGTGTCGGAAAACATGTCATGTTTAGAATTCGGTAGAGAATATTCACACAGAAGGAGTCTCAGAGACAGTTTTTTGAGTTAACCCACAGAGTGAGCAGCTGCCCACCCAAGGTCACATGGCAGGTGAACGGTAGAGCTGGAATCAGGGGCCGTTGGACTTATTTCCTTTAGGGAACACGCTTTCACTGTTGCTGTACACCTCACCTCACTGAGTACCTGGGCCACGTGACTGAATCCACTCAGGCTGTTGGTGCCAAAGCCACAGTGACCTTAGTTTAGAAGTCAGGGCTAGAACAGAGCTAGGAGGGAGCTGGGGCAAGATGGCACATTGCTCAAGAAAAAATGGAGAGACAGGTCCATAGGCCTTTCTCAACTTGACCTCCTCACCCCATTCCCCACACCCTTGGTCCCCCCTCCTCCTACAGCACCTGCTTCTATGTACAGATGTCTGGGGACCTCAGAATCCTGACTCGTCCAATCCATATGCTGTAGACTTTCCCTTCATGGAAGAACAAAGTCCCATGAAATTGCCAGGGAATCGCTTTAAGGGCAGCTTTGAAAATTTAACTAACTCTATTATTTTTGCACCTTTGGCCTTAAACATTTTCCACTCTATCCTAACCAGCTGTCCCTTCTCCCTCTCTTGAGTGGTTATCCTCCCTGGAAATCCATTTGTACCTAGAGATTCTTTGCCAGCATCATCCAGTTCTCAGGGCAGCTTCTAACCTCCCCCAGCTCCTCCTGGGTGGTACCACTGGGTAGGGGTTTTGTCACTAGGTAACTGCTGAAGGACAAATAAACTACAGGCGCCTTTTCTCCTCTAAGACTCAGCAACCTTGCTAGGGCCGTCCTGGATGGGCCTGTGGACAGAAGCAAGAACAGCCCAACAGAAGCAAAGGAGACCCAGAAAGACACTGCTCAATTTCGGGGTCAGTTTTCTAGCACTGGGATCAATTATTCCTGACAAGGCACCTGGGTGGCTCAGTGGTTGGGTGTCTGCCTTTGGCTCAGGGTGTGATTCCAGGGCCCTGGGATCGAGTCCCACATCGGGCTCCCTGCATGGACCCTGCTTCTCCCTCTGCCTATGTCTCTGCCTCTCTCTTTGTGTTCTCTCATGGATAAATAAAAAGAAAAATAAAATTATTCCTGACAAAGAGCTACTATTGGAGAAGCAGGTCTCTTTGGTTGAATATCCAGCTTTGTAAGCAGTGCTGTCCTCTTCTTATGTATGAACTCTAGTGTTAGTCATTAAAAGGCTTAAGAGGATTTTTTCCACAATTTTCCAGACAAGACTCTTGCCCCCAGTATGCATCTTTCCAACATGGATTGAAAGCCTTACATGTAAGGAGCACTGTGCTGAGAGCAGAGGCCAGAGACAGTGAAGTATGGTTCTGTCCTGATGATCTCTTCCAACTGCTCCCTCCCAAACAGATGAATTTCAAGGCAGTGGAGAAGTACAGGGATAGATGTGTGCATGAGGCACTGTGCAGGACCCCACAAGGGCACTAGCCTCACCTGGGAATGGGGTACGGGGGTAATGCCCTAAAGAGCACGGTAAGTGGAGGAAGGGGAACACAGGAGGCAGAGGGGCCTGCTAGCCCGTGGAGGATGTGCAGGGAGTGGCCTGGGCGCAGCAGTGCTGGAGCAGGAGGCTGGAGTGGGAGGCTGGGAGGAGGCTGACAGACAAGGCAGGTCTTAGAGAGTCCTGTCAGCTACTTCAAGACAAAAGGCACACTCGTTGATTTATCCTGTAATTTATTATAATTTAAATATTTATATTTAAAAAATTTATTTTGGGGCACCTGGGTGGCTCAGTCAGTGAAGCATCTGCCTTCAACTCGAGTCATGATCCCAAGGTCCTG